GAGAGATGTTGTAGTTGTTTGATTCTAGGATAATACCCAGACAATGTAAGCAAGCTCTGGGAAAAAATAAGCATCTTAGAGTTTATTTAATTAACCAAAACCAAAGCCTTCCCTGATTAGCTGCCCAACTCTAATCCGGACATTAAACCAGCTTTCATCAGAACTCTTTACTTGCCTAAACTTCTCTGACATGTAATCTTTTGATGTGCCCAACAAGTGGCGGCACATCCAGCTCTTGCAGTTACTTTTTATAGTTGGAGTAATTGGTCATCACTTAATGGTTGTGGTGGAAAGAAAGAATACTACAATGATAGAACAGTCAACACCCACATATTTAGTTCGTACTGTGTAACTAAATAGTTATAGGAGAAAGTTATTTATTTTGCACATTATTCTTACAGTGAAATTAAAAGATTTAAGATAATATGAACTGAGTTCCTCATAAGACATTAAAGAACATCTATATGTTGTTATCATACATGTATTATAATATCGGTATGTTACTTCATCAAGTTCTTCTTCAGATGACAATAACAGAGAAACCCCGAAATCGTATACTTTATACTTGACTACATCGATGTAAGCGCTATAGTTACTAGTGACTTTTCAGATTACGATTCAGATATAAACATGATGCATAGTTTCAGATTAAACTACTGAAAGTATATCAAGTAGTTAAACATTAGCTCTACCTTTACCAAAGGAAACATTAAAGTACAGTTTAGATATTAATACATCAATAATAATGATCCAATAGTAGAATAGTATAACTCTGACAGTTATTTTGCTTTTGATACTTTAATTAGGCAATAAAATGAACGTTTTACACACTTTTATAAGTTAACAGACTTTTACTGAAGTGGAATTTGACTTTTACTTATAGTTGAGTATTTTTACAGTATTTTTATTCTGTAGTTTCGCTTCTTTCACGTGGAACTCGTTCATTAGAGGCGTAAAGCAGCAAATACACAGCAGCACTAAGGATGTCACATGCTACGTATTTACATATGTTTGACAACAAGAATGATGCGACAGAGATTTGTTATGAAATTGAGTAATTATCCATACTGCATTTCTAGCATTTCTTGGATCAGTTAATTGCAGATATGCTTCCACACAACTGTTCCACCAGATTAAGAAAAAGTCAGACTTGTGGCCTCCAGAAGGCTTTTCAGTTGGATAAGTTTGTTTTTGCTAATATGAACTATTACCTCTTCTGTAACAGTAATCATTCACTCTCTAAGCAGCATAATTATCCATGTTTCATGCTGAAGAGGGGAGTGATATATTGTGGCAGATTCAGTTCCATTTACAATGTTTTGGATGTGAGATGAATCGAATTAAAATGGTTTAATTACTTTACTTTAATTAGTTTTCCCCTGTTAGAATATGGCAAAAGAAACTGTGATTAAATGAAACAATAAAAGCTGAGTACAACAGATGCAGACTTTGTGCTGAGCTGAAGCTCTTTCATCCAAACATGGACAGTTTTCCAGAATACTCCACCCAATCAGAGCAGCACTGCCAGCTTTGTCTTGTTCCTTATGGTCAGTATCGAGGCTCTCGTATTGTCTTAGTCACATGTGACCGATGTGTAGCACAGAGCAGCTCATCGTGGAGGTTTTATACCAGTTTGGCTTTTTTTAATGGCATTTTTATGGCTTTTCATGTGACATTTTTGTCCCCTTTAATAACATACGATACTATGATTTTTTAAAAATGATGTAATATACTAGGACTTTCTAATGACATACTGTACTATGACACGACTAAGGTGGACGTCCAACATACAGACACCATCAGGACAAAGGCCCAGCACTTCCTGTGGCATGTTAGGAATCCTGATCCAGTTCTATACTGCAATAATCCAGTCTGTTCCGGGCCAATAAAGAGGATTCGATTTGTTGATATTACTGTTTTATGACCTGACTTTTTTTGTTTTCATGGCATACTATACTAGGTCTTTTTATGACATAATATGCTATGACATTTTTGACTGTTTTTCATGAAATAATATGACATCATCATGACATACTATAGTAATACTTTTAATTACTTTTTTTAAGACATGCTCTACGATGACTTCTATGAGTTTTTATGACATTTTTTATGGCCTACCTATATGACTCTTCAATGACATAATGTAATGGGACTTTTTATGACATTCTAAGGGCATATCCTTTTATTTTCTATAGTCTTTTCATCTTGAATTAACTCATCATAGTCTCCCAGGACCTAAAGTCTAACATATTCATCAGGAAAAAGGCCCAGCAGAAGATGTAGTTCCTGCGTCAGCTCAGGAATTTCAATTTTTTTGGCTTACTATACTGACTTTATCGACATTCTATACTATGACTTTTATCGAGATACTATGACTTTTTCCCCTTTTTTCGACATGCTATACTATGACTTTTTCCCCTTTTTTCGACATGCTATACTATGACTTTTTTCACTTTTTTTGACATGCTATACTATGACTTTTTTCGAGATACTATGACTTTTTTCACTTTTTTCGACATGCTGTACTATGACTTTTTCCCCTTTTTTCGACATACTATACTATGACTTTTTTCACGTTTTTCGACATACTATACTATGACCTTTTTCCCTTTTTTCGACATGCTATACTATGACTTTTTTCACGTTTTTCGACGTTATACTATGACTTCTTTCACTTTTTTCGACATACTATATATGACTTTTTTCACTTTTTTCGACATACTATACCATGACTTTTTTCACTTTTTTCGACATACTATACTATGACCTTTTTCCCTTTTTTCGACATGCTATACTATGACTTTTTTCACGTTTTTCGACGTTATACTATGACTTTTTTCACGTTTTTCGACGTTATACTATGACTTTTTTCACTTTTTTCGAGATACTATGACTTTTTTCACTTTTTTCGACACACTATACTATGACTTTTTTCACTTTTTTCGACATACTATGACTTTTTTCACTTTTTTCGACATGCTATACTATGACTTTTTTCACGTTTTTTCGACATACTATACTATGACTTTTTTCCCTTTTTTCGACATACTATACTATGACCTTTTTCCCTTTTTTCGACATGCTATACTATGACTTTTTTCACTTTTT